AGGGGCTCCTGGCCTTACTACTAGGAACAAGAAGCTACTAGGGGCTCCTGGCCTTACTACTAGGAACAAGAAGCTACTAGTATTCACCCCAAGTCCTTTGGTGCACTGCGTTTCCAAGGTGCGTGTGACGGGTGATGGTTGGGGCGGAGGCACTGGCGAGTGCCCCCGGTGTCGGAATGGTATTATTTGTGGGATATTTTGCCACGCCATTCTGAGATATTTTGTCAGTAGTGTTTTGCTTTTGCTTCTGCTTTGCTTTTGTTTTTGAGTGCCTTTGTTTTTGTTTGTCCTGCAACAATTTTGCTTTTACTGCATTTGCTTGTGCTTTGACTTCTCGAAGGCGTGCTCGCGTGCTTTTGGTCGCCTTTTGATGGCCTGTGGTGGAAGTGTGAGGGCATTAATTTTGGTGTTTTGTTACTGTATTTCTTATCCGGGTGGGAAGGAAGGAAGGGAGGGAGGGAAAGGAAAGGAAAGGAAAGGAACGGAACGGAACGGAAAGGAAAGGAAAGGAATGGAAAGGAAGGGAAAGGAAGGGAAAGGAAGCGAAAGGAAAGGAAAGGAAAGGCAAGGAAAGGAAAGGACGGAGGGAGGGACGGATGGAGGTAGGGACGGAGGGAGGGAGGGAGGGAAGGGAACAAGGTACCAAGGTAGCACCTGTTCAACAAGCATTCCCTGAGGCTCCTTTTGGATGCGAGCTGCACTTTTACTGTGTGCATAATGTTTTTTTTTGTGTTGTCCGCTTAAGAGCGCATGTGCAGGAATCTGGTGCGAAAATGGCTAGCTTTTCGACAGCCGGGGACAAAGCGCAAGCACAAAAGCCATAACACCGCGAAAACCCGAAAACCACGAAAACCCAAAATGCAAAAACGGTGAAACCACCAGAACGGGAGAACGCGAAAACCAGAGAAAGGGACAATGACAGTGGTGGAATGTGTTTCTACTACGACTAATTAACAAGCTCACACGGGTAAACAGTATGTCTACGAGATCGAGTGGAGCTGTTTTTCATGAATGCGGTTGGTTCGTCAACAAAAGGATACAACAGACAACTTAGCTCGATGTCGCAAAAAACGATTGCTTGCTACCTTTATGCGCCATACTTGTCAATACATATTCTCTAAATCGCTTGTAAGGTTGCTGGATGGCTCGAAGCATTTTTGCATAAGCGCCCACAACCTGCCATGCATGCCTGCCTGAAACGGTTTTGGACCTTTGAGTTCCTTGCAATGTGCAGGTATTCTAAGTTTCGGACCACAAAGTCCCTGCCATGCACGCCTGCTTCAATCAGTTTTTCCCAGATAGCGTGAGCTATTGGGTTCTTACTTCAAGTATAGGAAGAGCTACACGTCTGCGTATTCGAGCGTGGGCGCTGGTGCCGTTGCAGTGCCGCTGCTGCGTGCGTTTGGGAGCTTGTGTGGTTGTGCCCCTGCAGGGTGCCCCTGGACCTGGTGCTCCATATCAGCTGTTTGCACGTGCAAGATGTGCACTGCTGCTATACTGCAGATGTGCTGCATGCATGGCGTTGCAGTGTAGATGACTCTGAGCGTCCTTCATTGAATCCCGCTCCTTCGAAGTGGCGCCTGATCCATTTTGGCAACCCCGTCAGCAGTCTAGAGCCTCATGGTGCGCAAGTGAGAAGATGTGAGAAGAGTCTGTGGTGCACAAGCAATGCGTGCCAGTGAGAAAGAATGAGAAAGATCCGCGCAAGTGCCCCCAGCCCCAGCCCTCCTCTGCGTTCTTGTTTTTTCCTTCTCCTTCTCCCTCTATCCCTCCCACCCTCCATCTCTTTTTCCTTTTGCTCGTTCTGCTTCTAGAAGCCTGGTGTCGTGCGGTGGGGTAGCTGTGGCACCGACGTCACCGACGTCTGGCACCGACCGCTGTTTGTGTGGTGAGCGTGGCTGCATTTTATTTGTTTTATTTTTGCACAAAGAATGCATGTATATACTGTATAACTATGTTTAATGGATGCACACCCACACAATCACCTTGAAACCCAAACATGACCCTTGGAAGATAACCTTGCATGCGCCCGGTAGTTGGTCGGGGCAGGTGCAAGTGAGCACGCACCATTGGTAGCACCAGCGATCATTTGATCTTCTGCAGGAGTGCCTTCTGGGGAGATTTTTGAAGTTTGGCCAATTTGCACCTCCTTCAGTCCTGTGGACAGGAAATTGTTTTTGGAAAAGAGGAGGGCCGCCACAGGTTTTGAGGTCACCATGTTTGCTCAAGGATGTTCAAGGTGCAGGGTAAACCTATATAGTTCCACGAATGCTTTCTCTCCAGGGAGTTTTTTGGGGATCCTGGGCCAGTGGAAGGCCCCATCGGATGTTCTCAACAAACGGCTGTGCCGTCAGGTACGAAGCGACGGTTGTGGATGGCGACGACTTGTCCTACACCATCATTTACATTGGTGACGACAAGAAATACACGGACAGCTGTCTGAGTTTCGTTCAGTGAAACGCCATCGGAAGTGTATGGGGTTTCTGCCAAAATACGCCAACAGAAGAACTGTGTTCCCTCACATGCGCGGCCACATTCTTGGCACAGTTTTCGTTCACTGAGTTCCCTTCGACCAGGTGGGGTCGTCCTCCATCCTATTTTCACACAAACAATCAATCATGGTGGGGCACGTGATGGGGCGGCCTGCACTTTTATTTTCTTTGCTTTGTATCTATTATATACATAGGGTGTCTTGACCCTGAATGACGGGAACGCTCTTGAGACACTTTCGAGGCACCTACCTGAGCCTAGCCTAGGCCTATGTTGTTGTGTCACTGTACTTCTAATATGTAACCGTGATCTTTTTTGTCAACACCAGGACCGCTCAACTCTTGTTGCTAGAACTTATATAATCACAAGCCGGTATGAGCAACCAATTCATCAGGCCCTTGAGGGCCCTCCATGCCCCTACTTTACAGACATATCACAAAGGGGTAGATTCCATGTAGATGGAGCAGTCCATCCCCCTATGACCCAGAATGTTGCGAGATCTTGTCGTGGAGAAGTTCATTTTGGTGTCCCAGGTCACACTGTTGATATAAGGGGGAGGGGGATCCACTGGTTGGGTGACTGTTCGCTGTGCCAGGAGACGCATGTTCTGCAGGAGCATTGCACTCTCTTGGAGCCACCTTCAGAGGTGGGCGCGCAAGCGGGCGCAAGCGGGCGCAAGCGGGCAGGGTTTGACGCATGTGACTCTGACTGGGCTGGGCATGGTCAGGAGTCAGAACCAGGTATTTCTTCCATTTCCACCAGTCGGACCAAGCTTGAGGCTGAATGTGAGCTGGTTCAAGATGTAGAGAGCGTCATTCAAATAGATGGGCAGGAACCATCTATAGCTGATTGAATGCCTTACGAAGTTTTTTTGGGTAAATTATATTGGATACAGGGTTTTAAGTTTTGAGTGTCAAATCAAGAAGTCGGCTTTTGACCTATATAGCTTGTCAGGCAGTCATTCCTGAGCCTAAGGCAGCCTTTCTGAAGATCAAATTCGGCTGCACTTTGTCCAATTCAATCCCAGACTTCAAATCAGTTCAAAGTCAAAGCCCAAATGGGAGGAGTTGAGATGCCTCTATTTGGATGTGGTTTCCAGAAGATGGCCTTGAACATGGATCAGCAGACGCTACATGTCACTGTGCAGGGATAGTAGCCATGGCAGATCGAGTCTTTTTGACTTGAGGCAGTGAGCGGAAGTGGATGGCTCTCCTAAGAGGGCAGGCTGGCGTGGATCTGTTATCCAGCAGTCATGGCGGAAAATCCCTCTCAATTGGCCCAGTTTCAGGCATTTCAGGAGAACACCGAGACATGGCCAGAGCGCAAGAAGGCCAACGACTTGGTGCTGCAACATTTGACTCATGTGGGTGCAAAGGCTGAGCTCATAGCAAGCTTGCAGGAGGTCTTCGAACATCACTGTAATAGCCCGAAAAGCGAACACGACTCGGGTGAGAGTGATTCTTCGCTTCTGGAGCAGATGCTGAAACAGTATAAAAGCATGGAGAACACCCTCGCGAAACAGGAGCTGCAAAAGGATGATGACTTGTGGGAGAGAATGAAGGCCAAGGCGGCAGAGATTGTGGGTGTGGAAGACGACGAGAAGAAGAAGCCGATGCTGCAGACGGAGAAGCAAACTGCAGAGAAGGAGCCAAAAGAGAAGAGTGAGGATACAGAGCCTCCCATAGAGTCCATTTGGATTCGTTTGCAGTCGCAATGGACCAGTAATCGAGTGCGATTTCGTGACTTCGACGACGAAGTCAGACGCGGTCATTACTGCCCCGAAGGATGTTGTGTAGAACACAAGGCAACGTCCTCCCGCCCGGAGGACTCGACGCTTCCTGGGCTCGAGGGTGGACTCCGATCGGGGCTCCGGGTTCACTTGGAGAGGTTTGCCCACTGCTGGGAAGGCGCCGGATGCCTTCGTCTCCGACGCGAGCGGCGTGAGACGAGCGAGCGGACCGAGTGGAGCCCGGCGTGAGCCCTATAGGCCCGAAGGCTGCCAGCTCTGGAGAAAGGCCGGTGGATTCCGCAGACCAGGCGGTGCAGGGACACCCTGATCCAGCCAAGTGCATGGGCAGCTTCCACCTCCAATGGCCTGCCTCCGGCTGCAACAAGGGAGCTACGGCTTGAGACTGCCACGACTCCGTGACGCGAAAAGAAGGAGCCAACAGGGCGAGAGCGCAGTTGTTCGGTCACTCGGAGTTTATCTTAGCAACATCTCGCCTGACAAGGACCATACGTGGAGTGACCATGAGTGACCCAATCAGATTGGAGTGACCATGGTTGCACCAGCCATTCACAGGGGGTGATGATGTTCTATGGGCCAATGATTGCTGATCAGCTCTTCCATGCCTTTTCCCCCCAAGAATCGGGGGGAAGGAACCCTCCTTCACGTATAGCATCGTACAGCTCCTTCCCAGCGAGGCTTCCACCAGCCGGGCGTAGACGTGCGGAAGTAAGCAGCTGCGTGAGCCACGGCGGCTCCCTGCGTGCGGAGCTGGGGAGGGAGACGTACGTGCCGAGAGTGGCCCAGGGAGTAATGAAGTCATTTGTTTTTCTTTCCATAATGATGATTAGGTAATACGGTAATACTGTGTATAATATTATACAGTATATATATATATAATCTATATATGTGTATATTTATAGACTTTTATAGTATATTTATATAAAGATGTCTATATAAACTATAATATATACATTATATATTTGTAAAACACTTCAGACGCTTTGGGATACTTGGGTGTGTGAAAGTTAAGACCCCAAACAATGGGGTAGAAAGTTGAAGAACTCGAGGGCACAGGTACAACCCTTTTGAGACATGAGCAACCATCTGCTCATTTCGACCTTGTGAGTGTTCAACTGAAGTCCAGTCGGTCAGGTGGATTCAGAACCGGCACCTGGTTTTCTCGCTGGCGGTGCGGCAGTGCCGGGTTCGACCTCAAGGATTTAACACCAGGACCAGGAGTAGTTGGGCAATGAACCCATTAACTTACCTAAAAAAGGAATGATTGAAAAAACGCCAGTCTCCTTTGCAAACTGGGGGCATGTTTCACTTTCTCACTAAGTATTGTGTTAGGGGATATATGATACTACATGAGAAATGGGATGGCACAATTTATCAGATGATCAGGTATATCAGGTCAAGGTTTACAGTAGCTCATTTTCTTCAAGTCTTGTTTCTTTGGACCCTCCACCTAAAATGCAAAAGAGAAGACTCGTTTCAAACATGTGGAAACGGTTTCGGTGGATCATCGTGTTTTTGATAGGCAAGACGATCAACAAGGTCCTTAAGCCACATGCAAGGTGTATGGGAGCCATCAGGCTAGGTCTCCCTGATGCGGGACGCATCCATCTTTTAACTAGCACCTCTTGGTGGGTGTCCTCATGGTCGTTGGTTTACTGCACCCCCTTGGCAGACTAACATAGCCTTGCACCTGGAAGAGGAGAAGATGTTAGTTTGAACAGACAATGAGGGAATGTAATTATACAAGATTTGAGACGGTCCCAGCTCTAGTCTCTATCAACTACCAGCAGAAGTTGCACTCACCTTTAGATGGTCAAATGATGCTCTTGCGATGAACGAAACGACCAGAGATACTTCACCACGACTCAGCCGTGGCGCAAGAGCCGTCACCAGCGGGAGCAAAAGGGCCTAAAAACCGGGCCGGGCGTTGCCAAATTGAGGGTCCTACCCAGTCAGAGGATAACTCACCCTCATCATCCCTCATCATCCCTCCGCAGATTGCTTTCCTCAATGAAAAACACCTCGACACGATGGTCGTGTGTTTGTGGTAGACCCAAGTTGCGTGACCCAACTTGCGAGAGTTTCAACAGGTGGAATTGTTTTTGGAACTGAGGGAGTCAGCATACCTTGGCCCCGAGGAGTCAGCATAGCCCGGCAGTCCAAAAAAGTGCGTACTTGGTATTTTGGGTGTGTTTTCAAGATAATGCTTTTACAGACACACTTTTCCTAACTCCCAACTTTCAGATACACCAATGTCAGTGTACGTCAGTGGCCTCATTGAAAACGAGGCTTTTCTGCTCCCAGGGTCTTCTGCCACCTTGGCCTGTCGGTGCTCCGCACCGAAATAGACTATGTTTCCGCATGTGTAGTTACAGTTCCTATCTTTTCCCCGAGAGAATCAATAGGAAGTGTCAGGCGGTAGAGGAGCATCACCTGGTATAACCACCTGAAGATGTGTTCATGTTTCGGTTCTGCCAAAGAGGTTTCTATTGTGAACATCCTTCGAGACGGATGGAGGATGGACTGTCAACATGTGGCCAGCTCACCACCGGGCCAACCGTTCACGTGGAGCCGAACGATGCCGGGAGCCTCCCGTTCAATGACCGTTCAACTTCCGTTCGGCGAACTTGCATGGTTGGTTTTGGCGGACGCTATACCGGGAAGATACTTCTATAACTTCTATACCTGGGAAGTCCGCGCATTTGGATGCAAGGGAAACGAAGTCCTAACCGGTCCTAACCGTGCTAATTGAATTTGGAGGGTCAATATGGGTCAAAGGGACTACTTGGCCCCTGGTGTTAGAGACTATCCAAGCAGTGATGGCAGAGCACACATTATAAGGCTACTGACGCCTGTTGATGGACACGCTCTGGATGCTCACATTTTTGCTAAATACGCCTGCAGCTGTTTCAAGATGCCAAACAAAAATCAGATCTAGAATCTAAAGTCTCCATTTTGAGACATTGAACAGTCACTCAGCTGCATCACTGAAGTTGACGCGCTTCCCTGGACACCTTGACATCAACGATCATGGCGAACTTAACGGCAGCAGTGCGAGCCTTGCCGAGAACATGAAGCTGCTGACATGGGGAACGGTGAGAACAGAGGCAACCCTGCCCCAAACCAGGCCTCTCACTGGGCGATTGATGGAGACCTGTTTCATTGGATTCCTCGTGCTGAAAAGAACAGTGCGGAGAGAACTGAGATGTTACTGAGATGTTGCGTTTTAAATCTTTTTCCAAGGTGAAGCCTTCTGACATATCGGGTTGGGTGTGGTCAGGACCTGGTCAGCCGAGTTTGGTTTGTTGGGCTTGGTGAACGGCAGGCGCACGATTAGACACAGACCATCCAGCGGACTGGCATGTGTCGCTACCTTTGCCCCTTTGACCAACCACTTGGCACTTGGATTGGATTCACACTCATGGACCAGCAGGGGACTCCTCATACAACTGCTTCGCTGGATTCTCACTTTCGTGACCGCATGTGTCAATGACTTTGACGAAAACGCCACGTCCGACGTCGACGTGGTTCGAGTGACTCGAGTTCGAGTTCGAGTGACTTGTTGTGTGAGATTCCTCCGCGACCCTCAAAGCCAAAGACACACGCGGTTCCAAGACTTAAGCTGGGGATGTTCACACCCTTTCACCATCTTTCATTCACCTTCGACTGACCTTCGACCCAAAACAGCCTCTTGCGAAGCTGAGCCGCTTCGCCCCGAGGGCTCATGACCCGGCCAGCGCTTCAGCTCTCGGCGGCCCAGCGCTGCGTCTCCAACCCGCTGCCGGCGCGGCACGCGGAGGTCTTCGCAGATGTGCGGGCCGCATGGAGCAGCAACGGGACCATGGAGGAAGCTATTCTCTTGTTGAGGTTTGGTTTAACATCATTTTCACACCCTTTCAATCAGGGTGGGTTTCAATCATCAACCCTTCATACACATTGGGGTCACCAAACCCACTGGGGTCAAACAGGCATGGTTTTTTTCAAGAGCTGATGTGAACAAATATTTACTGTAATCGGCTCTCCAGTGGAACACCCGAACCGTGTAGTGCAGGTGGCCCTTGGGCGGGAAAGCCATAAACCAACCTGATGTACGCAAACCAGGGTAGACCATCCCGATGTAGGTAAATAAGCAATACAATCATGACATGGGTTATTGTCGGGGTATTGTATGGTATTAATACATATTAATAGTTATTAAATGTTATTAATATCTATATTAATACTACAATACTGTCACAGCCAAATGTGCAGGACAATGCATAAATCATGCTTTCGCTTTGTTTTGGACATTCTTCCAAAAGGTCTCATGGCTGGGGGCTGGGGCGATGGAAAAGGCCGCTCCAACCAGAGATCTGCGCGCGAGACCGCCTCGAGGAACGGCTTTTCGAAGCCTACGTCTCGAGGACTCCCTCCTTCGTGAAGGCGGGAGCAACAGCAGCGGAGGTCTTCGGGATGATCGGAAGACCTGTTTCACGCAGGTCTGCAAAGTGATGGTTCTGATTGAGCAATTTTCAGGTTTAGCTGGACTTGTTTTTAATAGCACCAAGCCACAGGGCACATGCATCTTGCTGAAATCCGTGGCTTCAGCCTTGATTGATGGTTGGTTGACTATCCACTGTTTCCAAAAAGGACAGCTTGGTTTGGAGCCCAAAAATAACTAGTGCATATAGAGCAATTGGACCACCGCTCACGTCCGGCTGTTGTTTTTCTCTTTATTTTTTGAGTGGGTGGGTGGGTGGGTGGGGCGCATCTACGTCATTTGCGCTTGCACATGTTTTTGTTGCTCTGCTGCATTTGGGTGACACCTACGTCATTTGCACGTGCACCTGCTTTTGTATCTTTTGTTGCTCTGCTGTAGATGGTTGACGTCTACGTCATTTGCACTTACACACGCCTTTGTTGCTCTGCTGCAGATGCTTGACATCTATGTCATTTGCACTTGCACATGCTTTTGTTGCTTCGCTGCAGATGTTTGACATCTTTGTCATATTTGGGTAGAAAGAACTCAAGGCTTTTTTGGCGTGCAAAGTACCCTGTGAGTGTTCACACTAATGGACACAGGACCACGGACCCGGAGTTGGAAGAGCTTACTTTCCAACTTGTCTATCGCCGCAGTATTCTTCCAGCCACTCCGGAGTCTTTCATGGTCTCGTTATGTTGAAACGAATGCTGAACTCCAGCTGATCGCCATGAAAGCCTTCGAACCTTTCAATTCCAATGGGAAACACCAGCATGCAAACTGCCCACGTGTGAACGACATTATAAAGAGCCTGATTTCAACATGACGTCGAGTCCTATTGGGGAGGACATCGTTTGGTTCGTTGAATTCTTGTAGCTTTCGCTCCGCGGCTGCCTGCGCCCAGTGGACCTAGTTCATTGGTCATCCATATACCTCCCTGATGCCAAGCCCAACCCGAGCTACCTTGCTGTATGTTGCCATGTATCATGTTTTCTTCTACATGCATCGCCCTGTTCCTATTGGTATCGGTTTTCCTTTACATGCATCGCCCTGTTCCTATTGATATAGGAACCGCCAAGAATCAACTGGGGGTGACAACCCTAACCAATTCTTTTAAAGCAATTCCTCGGTGGTAAAACCGATATCAATCACCCATGTTTTTACCGTGGGTTGGAGCGCACTATCATGGAGTGCAATCAAGTAGCCTCCAAACATCTCCAAACGCCGCTGTTTTGCTGAACCAGAGAGGTTTGGGTGGTTTGGCTGAGTACGCGGATAGCTGATTGGGCTAGCAGGGGTTGTTGAGTAGATGAACACATTGTCTACTGAAGGATGGCCCATCAGCTTTTATGTCAACAGTTTTGCGAGACTGATTTGCGAATGTTTGCGAACCTTTATAAAAGCTTCAACCAACAAGTGGGTTGGGAAGAAGAGCAGTTCCTCTTCTTGGTTGTTGTTCTACCAGTTGTTGGGAGCCTTAAACTTGACAGACAAATACACACCCGTGGTTTTGTAATTTCGTAACCTAATTGTTGCACATTTTTTGGGAGAGGTCTCTTGCATTCAGCACCTGTCCAATCGCTTCCACCTTCACGTCGACAGGCTGTGGACCTCCTCACGGCGCGGGGGGGACAAATCCACAATGACCACATGGCACTGCGATCCTTCGTGGACTCTGAAGGCGCATCCGCACTGGGGAAGGTCCGTGCTGGTGCAGATTGGTGGCTCCTCCAAAACCCAACAAGTTTCATCAAACGGGAGTGGGTCCCTCGCGTGAAATGTGTGCAAAACGTTGCAAAACGTTACTGTATGTGAATTCTTTTTTCACCAAAACATATTTTTCAACCGTGTTTTGCTAGGGCGCTCGGGCTTGAAGTTCTTTGAATCGATCTTCACCCACTTTGGCTATGCTGTGCAAGGCCGTGGCTTCTGCAGCGCTGTTGTTTTTCTCCGGTGGGTCATGTGAGTTGAAGTAACCTCTGTGAGAATCGATGGATCACACCGAATCACACCAGGGTGGTTGCCAGATTGACATCGTTGCCATAACTTTGTAGTTCCCATGTACTGCACCTGGATGTGAAAGTTTCAAAGCAGCTGACATGAACTGGTTGACTGGAGGCGGTTCTGTTCATCTTCTCGGCCCACCCGCTACTGTAAGATTTACGAGAGACGAGACATTTAGCACATATTCAAGCCGTGTCTTCTGAAGTCGCTGTACAAAACACAGCAGAAAAACTATTAGGACGTTTTTCGAGGGATACCCAATGATACCGGTGAGACGTTCCAAAAACGACGATGTACGGTCAAAGTAAGACTCCCAAATAAACTGAGACAAGTGGAAGGGGCTGCCCTAGCAACTACTTGTTTCAGATTTCATATTACTTCCAAACAGCGCAAACAGCAGACTTTCCACTGCCATGTCACCTTCGGATGCAAAGGCAACACTATCCCGCAAAACAAGCTAGTAGCTAGCATGTTCCCAAAGCCTTCCTTTTTTTCGGGCAGATTGTAGGACGTTGAATTTTTGACACAGCCGATGAATTCACAATGTCACAGTCACAACAGAGTCCCACTTGCTGCTCTCGCTCGCCCAGACTCCTTGGTGATCCCTGGCCTCTGCGTGAATGCACGGTGGTATGAACCGCCAGAAGAGAAGCTTGTATTGATGGTTGTCACTGTGGAAGGGGGACACTGGGACTCCAACGTGCCAGCCTGGCTGTGACCGTCGCGCCCCAAACGCCCCAAGAAACGCATGTGACGGTCAAGCGTTTCGGGACTCGACTGTCTTGGACCACTGTAATCATTTTGGTCGAAGCCTGCAAGGTGGTGTTGCATTTGGTCGAAGCCTTGATTTGAGTCCAGCTCATGCAGAAGTTGACCTGCCATCACCTACAATCAACAGACCCTATAAATCCCTGTATAATATATATTGATGACTGGCACGGAGCCAGCTCAAAAATCACCTAGATTCAATGGGCCATAGCTCTCAATTCCGATGCATCCGCTTTCCTTTCACTCTCGATGCAGCATCTGCTTTCCACCCATCCTCGAGGACCAACTGGCCGAAGGTCTTTGTTTCAGAGATGCGGATCAAGGAGCTCCCAGAAGTGGCGCAGGAAGTGCTTTTCCGTGGCCTGGCATTCATGGTGATGGCTCCAAAAGTGCCCAGCAACGTCACTGAAACATCACATGATGATGCTAACACCTGTGAGGTCCTAGGTCCTTTTGTTGAGCCACATCCAACGCAGGGTGATACAGATGGTATTGTATGGGTGGGTGGGAGTTTCGATCCGTGGCATCAAAAGGGAAAGCAAGTTGTCAGCTTGTGCCTCAAAAGATACTAAGTCCAGGAGCTCTTCCAAAGTCCAATTTTGTACAACGCTTGAAACGGCCGGGAGTTGGGGACCTTGGGTTATCCATGGTTATCCAACTCCCCTTTTATAACCATCCCTCAGGCCACGTGGATGGCTTCTACGAGCCCAGCCGCGCGGAAGGAGCCTTGGCGAATGGCTCCGCGGCGGTGGCGGAGCTGCTGGAGACGCCGCCCTGGTGCCCCACCGCTGAAGAGCAGTTCCTTGGGCGAACGATGGGCTTCGGGGATTCGATGATGGATGCGGAGAGGAGAGGAAGGTGGGGGTCGATGTGGAGAGCAGGTACCTCTAGAGACTTAGAGATGGGTGCATCGCGGTTTAGGACGATTCACCAAGAAAGAGGGGACCGGTCGGACAAAACCCAAGAAGATGATCATCTGGTCGGGGAAAGCTGAAGCTGAAGCCTCACTCGTCAATCCCAGACTGAGCGAGTGAAGTCCGGCCCAAGGCAGACGCTGCACCAGTTGGCCAAGGAGCCACACTTGACAAATGCCGTGGAGTACGCGGCCTGGACCTTGACCCACGGGCACCGCACCATGGCTCTTGAGCCGGATGGACCGGTGGCCAGTGTTTGACGACGGACATGGTATATGTATAGGTCTGATGGTTTGAGTAAATTCCCCTCAGGAGAAGTGCAGTGCAGGTGTGCCCAGGTGCCCAGGCAGGAGGTTGCGTGACGGTGTGCCCGGGAAATACCTCTTGGCTGCATTTGTCGGACGTTTGCGCATCAGTACCTCATCACTCATCACCATTATCAATAAGTTATGCGGGTTATCACCAACATCACAAACAGCATCATGATTGGATACAATCCTCATCACCTTCGTAATCATCACCGTCATTTGGGCCCGTTTTCGTCATGAGTGTGCCCGCGTGCCCGTGTGCCTGGGGTCTTGTGAGCGGACCGGTCTCCTAGATCTGGGGCCGTTGGTGACTGAGTCAAACTTCCAGAAGGGTGACTTTGTGCAGAATATCGACAGGCAAGTCCTGATGCTACTATAGAACCTGACAACGAGGTAGATCGCGCCCATGACGATCTTCTGCAGAGACCTTGGGATAATGCAATTTCACCATTGTCCACTTTTACTGCAAGAGCATCAAGTCCCCAAGTTTCATTGATTTCTTTGTTTGTGGGTGGATGGACCCATTGTGTCTGAAAAGCGGTTTTGGAACTCTTATTATGGTTTTGTGATGCTATGTGTCTTCGCGAAGCATCTTCAGCGTCAAATTCGAGCTGCCCAGGGCCCAGAATGCTGATATTATATATATATATAATATATATATATATGTATATATAAGTAGGGCTAACGCCCTGGTGCCGCCGACCCCCTTTTTGGGGGAAGGATGGCGGCGTTTGTTTTGCCAGCTGTGGTCCGGAGATGCAGAAAGGCTACAAGTCACAGTCTTTGATGCATGTGGGGGCAGGAGGTATGAAAAACATTGCGAAGCCAAGATGAGCAGGCTAGATCCTACACTGGTTTCTGACATGCTGACAACAGCGTTAATTCACCATCACATTCATGTGCCCCCAAAATGTCCAGTCGGGTAAATAGATAGGCAGTCTATACATGGAATGTTTGAGGCACTTTTTGGGAAACGCCGATGTGTGTGGAAGTCATGATTGTTTACTATTCACGCACAGACTATACTGGGGCGCACTGCAACGTGAGTTAACAAAAAGACAGCAACGTGGTTTTCATGTTCCTTGTGTCGTGGAAGATGGTTCTTCCGCCAGCCCATCGGGTCAAGCAAAGCCGCTTTGAACTTCACCTGGCTCTTGAGTGGAGATGGTGAGCGTCTTGATTGCAACATTGCGCAATCAGCCCGTCTTGGGACCCAAACGTGACCATCTACAGGGTCCTCGCTTTGGGGTTCCCTAGTTGGTGAGTTCGCTTCACATTTAAGTCTGAAATAATACAAGTTCATTTTCAACATGTCAGCAATATGTCACAAAGGTTCCAGCTGGGTCCTGAGTTGAAATCATGATGAAAGTCGCTGATGAACGGTTGTGCTCAAACATTTTTACAGCTGGTGGTTCACCAGCCGACAAAAAATCTGCTTGTCGATGTGGCCTTCAACTTGAGTCGGACCAACGACTGTTTGACCACAAAAAAGCAATGCAATATATTTTGTCTTTAGCCCGCGCCCGCCCTCGGTAGATCTGTTGAACAGCACTTTTGACTTGAACTATGGTTAGACGACAAACTCAATATAATCCATTTGCAATTTTTACGGTCTTAGGCCCGCGCCCGCCCTTGGTGGAGCCAGCGCCGATCCACGTAATATGTTTGTATTTGTAGATATATTTGCATATATACAAATACATAAACATATATATATATATAGCATAAACCGAGCGTAGGGCACGCGCACAGTTGTAATAAGGATATTTTGTACCCCTCGCAGATTTGCCATGGCAACTCTAGATGTGGCTGCCTTGACCAACTTAGCGGCAGAAGAATTTGGCACAGGCTTCCGCTACTCGGACGAGTTTTCGCAGAGATGGGTCGAAAACAAATTGGGGTTCAGCCGAAGGAGCCGTGGATACAATAAGACTGTCCAAGAATCGTTCTCTGCTGTCTGGACTGCGTTGGACGAACGGTTCCCCGAAAGACAAATCACTTGGCCGGTGTGGCCAGCTGCCCGAGACCTTGTCTCCGTTGACATTGGGAACTTGAAACGCATGAGGCTTTTGGATCGAACAATAGTTCCCAACATCTACAGCCAGAAGGTCTGCCGCATGGCTACCCGTGATTCTTTCAGCGACGACGTGTTGTTCAAACGACTTTCGATCATACTTGGTGCAGCAAGCACTGCCATAAGGGCCTAAAGCTTTTGAGGAGATTTGGCCTCAGGCTGAGAAGAATCATTGTCCAATGCTTGTGAGGGAGGGAGAGGCGCCAGCCGCAGCAGAATCTTCAGGGGCCAATGAAATTTATCGCTTCGATTATTCAGAGCAGACGCAAAAGTACCAGGTTGATCAGGGCAGGCAACTACAGAAGCACCTGAGCGGTATTTCTTGGAATGGTGGTGCGACGCGTCAAGCGCTCGACATTGCAGCTTTTGGAATCCTAGAGAAAAACCGTCGCGGAACCGCGCCCAAAAAGGGCTGGTGTCGCCACAGCCTTCCCCCATCTAATTCTGCGCGCAAGCGGGTGCCA